CATGCAGTGGGTGTTTTTGTTGTAATCTTGCAAAACTTAAGTCTTCAGATGTTGGGTGTCTTTGGGAATTGTAGCCCACTTTGCACTTCTTAGCACAGTAGCCTAGTGCAACATTTTTTTGACACTGAAACTTCCTTACTAAAGGCACTACTTAATTAATTGAGACAGCACTGGTCAAGTGACTAGCTTGAGTTTTTGCCATTGATGATGCTTTAAGATTTAAAAACAGTGGTAGGAGAAGGACTTAAAATGTTTTAAGATTCTAATATTGTCTGTGGTAGTTATAAGTGAATTATACGTAGATACATATAACAAATGTTTCTTGAAAGGAATACAAGAAAAGCAGCTCGTGAGTGAGAAATAATTTGCTGAATGGTGTGAAGTAAAAGCAGTATTACTTTACATATGTTGCACCTCTGTTGGTCATCTAGTCCGGACTGCTGCTATAGAGCTAGAAGTTTAAAGCTAAAACCTTTCATTAAGCTCTTTACATTTACATAATATAGTTACCTGAAAGCTAGTCAAAAAGTTTATAGAAAGCTAGCTAGTACTCTCTCAGAAAGGATTCTTGGCTTCTGGGAGCCAGTTGCATGTTTTTGTGCATTTCAGTCTTTGTCCTTCAGACATTTTGAGTCTGAACTTAAGCCTGTGAAATCTTTTGAGCTTGTCAATATTAGTTAAACTTATTTAATATTTCTAAGTTTGACAATGCTTATCAAAAGGTATAAACCTAAACATGTTATGGCTTTGAACAAAGAGCAAAACAAAAGCCAAACAGATAACAGTTAGCTTGGGTTGTGGTTATCTTAAAGATCATAGAATATCTATTTGTTTCAGGCTTTACCTGTGCTCTGCAGAAAGAAATTCTGTACCAAGGAAAATTATTCCTTTCTGAAAACTGGATTTGCTTCCATTCCAAGGTTTTTGGTAAAGACACTAAGGTTAGTAAAATCTTTATGTACAGAACAGTAAGTAATGCTGTTCCTTAACAATTTGTTCATCACCAGAAGTTCGCGTTAGCTAGAATACTACTGATAGTACTAAGTATTATTGAATACAATCACTGTTCAGAAGTGATGCTCAAAAGTCACTCTAGAACTGGAGCACTATTATTATTAAAGATTGAGTCTCTCTTAAAGATTTCCTGTCTGAAAAAAATATATGAAAGGAAAGGATCTGACACGCAGCAGTAAGGGTATTGTCAAGCCCATGTAGTGCAAAGTATACAAAGATGTCTTTCTTGGGGTAAGCATGGAAAGGAGGAGGAGGAGGAAGGAAGCCTGAAAAGTGTAAGTACTACAAGACGGTAGTTAGGGAATGGGAGAGAAGGATCAAGTATATTAAGACAGTTAAAGAGAAAGAATTAGAACTGGCCACTGAGTTGAGTGACAGAGGTCTTGGAGGGATTCTTCTAGCACTCCCTCTGTTCTGCATAAACAGAGAACAGGAAAAGAAAAACGAGTTTGCAAGATTTTTGCTTGTGACCCTAGTAGGAAGAGCAGAAACAGGACACGAACAGTTGGAAAGATCCTAATTTACAAGATCATAATTTACTTTTTCTTGGTGAAGATGTGACCCACGTAAGGTTTGGGCCCCCTGTGGTGCATGACATGCATACAGATGAAAATAAAGCCTTTCCAAAAAGATTTGTGTTCTGGTTCTGTTGATTTGGAGTTTTGGAGTGATTTTCTTTGTTTACATAAACTCTGCATTGTTTTTGAGCTTTTATTGGGAAACTGCTTGATTTGCTGCGAGGATTTATTTGGCTTCCTTGAACAAAGTTCCTGGTTAGATCCAGACCGTTTGTCAGTGAACTGAGTGCTGAAACCAGTTTAAGAGTTGACGGTGTCTCATTTCTCTGCTGTCAACTGTTTTGATGGAACACCATCTATCTTTGAAAGGGCTATTAAGAAGGTGGAATAAGTTTAAAGAGTGCTTAAAATTATTGTTCATAGTGACCTTATGGGTCATTGTGGTTTACTGCTTGGCCTGAGAAACTGAGTTATTGTTGATTCCTAGTTAATGGATTGTGTTGGTCATAGGCAGTACATTAATGCGGATGGTGTGTAGAATTATAGAATGGTTAGGGTTGGAAGGGACCTCAAAGACCATCTAGTTCCACCCCCTCTGCCATGGGCAGGGAAACCCTCCACTACACCAGGTTGCCCAAAGCCTCATCCAGCCTGGCCTTGAACACTTCCAGGGATGGGGCATCTACAGCTTCTCTGGGCAACCTGTTCCAGTGCCTCACCACCCTCAGAGTGAAAAATTTCTTCCTTATATCTAATCTAAATCTCCCCTCTTTCAGTTTAAAGCCATTGCCCCTTGTCCTATCACTACATGCCCTTGGAAAAAGTCCCTCTCCAGCTTTCCTGTAGGCCCCCTTTGAAAGCCATGTGGCTCAAACAAGGAAATCAAAATTAACAAATGGCTGGATATTGTCATTTGTAATTAGAAACAGCCATCTTGGCAATTAGTTTAATTAAAATTGAAGCTGCTGTACTGGCAATCTCCTGTTCACCACAAACAAATATGAACCACTTCAAAGTGTGGGACTGCTTTCTATACAAAAATCTAGTAGAACTCTTACCAAGTAAACTAGAAAGACCCAGAAAAAAAGATGCAGAATGGTGATGATGTAGTACTAGGAAATTATCTTTGCCAACAGGGTATTAAATGCAGGAATAGATACATATTTATGTATACAATTAAAAGGGAAAATATGTTACAAGACAGGGTAGCGTAGACAGTATTTGTAAATGTGGCGGTAGTGATATTCCAAATTATTCAATATTCAAGAGTGAAGGGGATAGGCCTAATCATTTACTTTCAGCTGTCTCCTCCTAACCTTGCGACACACTTAGAGCTTTGATCAGTCACATACTGCAGGCACGAGTTTTTAGAAATACTATCAACAAAAAAGCAAGAAAATCAAGGATATAATGAAAAATAATGTAGTGGGAGGGAGAGGAGGAAATCAAACTTGACAGTAAGAGGAAAATTCTTAGCAGTCAGATACACTGACAAAGTTTCCAAGTCACCAAATCTCTGTTGCTTAGAAGTTGTAAAACAATTTAAGCTTAGTGATGAAGTGTTTTATTGTGAGCAATAGCAGGTCTACATGTTCTAATAAATTTTTCAACGAATTCTTCTGCTTGCAGCATTTTTTTTATTGAAAGCTTTGGTGGAGAGAATAGCCATGCAAGTCACAAGATTTGAGTCTGTAGTGTAAACACTGTGAATGTTCTAAAGTGAAAGATTGCTTCTGCAGGATTGAGTAGACTTTGAAAGACGTCACTTGTCTTTCCAGGTAGTTCTGTTTTGGCTATGTATATTAGCCTTGAGTCTTTCCTGGAGCTGAGCATTATCTTACACAGTTTAGTTGCTTTTGAAGTTGCCTGCAGGTAAACCTTATTTCCTGAAATAACCGTTACTCCAGATAGAAATAAAGTACTTTACAGTGATGTTACCATTCTAATCTAATGCTGGGGTAACAGTAAACAAATACTTAACCCCGCTGAAGTACGCTTTAGTATTGATTACAGTAGTGTTATCCATTAAAATAGCGTGCAGTTAGAATGTCATTGACACCTCTGATTTAAAGTTCTTTGAGGTGAACTGAACCAATTAGAAAACTTCTAAACTGTTTTTTTTTATGGTTACTATTAGCGGGATTTCTACTGAAAAATCTTCTGGTATGGTTTTGTTTTGGTTTGATTTGATTTTTTTAAAGTTATGCAGATTCTGTTGTGACTGCTTGGGCTTTTCCTATCAAACACTTCCTTCTCCACACTCCCAGAAAAAGCAGTTTTGAAAAGCATTAAAAAAAACTTTGCAGTGACACAATATCCAGTTTAAGAAGAAAAGGTATGGTAGAGGACATCTTTAATTATCCATTTTCAGTAGACATGGCTTCTGAAGCAGGACAAATAGAGTTGATGTGTTAAAAAATCAATAGAATTTTTTGACCAGATTTACAGATTCTTGGACCCAGACCTGGAACTAAGAATAACCAAAATTATATGCTTTGGGTTGGGTTGTTATTTTTTCTGCTAGTAAACTTTTTTGACGAAACTAGGTACTGAGTCAAGACCGAGTTTCCAGACCTTAGGTGATAAGCAGATGCTTGACTAGCCATCCTTCAACAGTGTGTGGCAATCTTGCACCCACACTAGTGTACACAAATACGTTTTATGTTATGTGAAACAATTCTTAATATCCTGACTTTGTGTTGCTGTTCTGAACAAACATTAACAAGGTTTTAGGAAACGGTGCACAGAGTACCTTCATTCTCCTTCTGCTCTGACATGTGTTTTTAATTCAGTGCTGCGATCGCTTGTTGAACAATCTTTGGACACTTTTAATCTTGTTTCCAAATTTCTCAGGTAGTTGTGACGGTGTGTGCCAAAGGAATTTTTAACAGGAGCTGTGTCTTAATCATGTGTATCCAGGATTATTATATTTGCCTAACTCATTAATCTCTAGGCTTTTCCACTGAAAGTCAAACGATTTGCAATGTGACGTTTACAAGAAGGGCCCGTACAGAGCATCTGAAGTGAAATGCTCTGAAACTTGACAAGCATTAAGCTAATGGAGTTGGATGTACACATTAAGCAGGAAGGAAAATTGAGAACTTCTCCATGTAAATGTAGATAGTCTGGATGATACACACAGGAATCAGTTTAAGTCAGTCAGTGGGTGTGTGGGTATTGAATCTTTCAACATTACTGAAGGGCACCTGTTTTACTTAGCCACTTGTTGCAGACTAAAGGATCTGTAAGTGATGAGGAGCTTTTATATTCATTCTTCAACAAGCCTCTCATCTGATCTGTTCTGAAATGTTTTGTTTCTAAACAAAGAAGCCCATCTTTAAGACTGGCTTGTTCTGCAGATCTACAGTGAGCTAAGCCTGTAGTCTTGTAAGAGCTGGAAAGGATCAGGAAAGGAAGGCATAAACAAAAGCCTGGGTTGGCGTCTGATAAAAACAGAAGTAAAAATAGTTAAGAAATAGTAATAATCTGAAACCACACCTGTTACATGTGAAATATTAGTAATCAGGAATGTAGTGGAGAAATCTTTAAATGAAGAGTGTTGAAGGTCTGCCTTATTACAGTTGGTAGTCTGGCTCCTTGTGAAAAAGCATGCAGATTTTTATGTGTGTATTGGGACTCTAACACTACATTGATCTTGTTTCAGATTAGTATACCTGTGCTCTCAGTGACACTTTTGAAGAAAACCAAAACTGCCCTTCTTGTGCCAAATGCTCTGATCATAGCAACCATTACAGATAGGGTGAGTACTGGTAAAGGGTGAAGCTACTGCATTCTGCCTGCTTTCTTTTTCATTTTCTACTTTTCCCTGCCCTCCCCCCCCTACTTATTGGCAATAATATGAGGGATTCTTGAAAGTGCCAAGTGGCCATTTAAACAGCTATAGGATTTGGTCAGTTGTTGGCATTTATACTTAGGTCCCTTGAGGATCTGGTTTCTTAGGGAATTATTCTAGCTTCTTCTGCCTCCTCTCTTGTGACAGGCAAGGACCATGTTTTTCCTCCTGGTAACTCCCTGTCTGTTTTAGTTTGGATCTGCAGTAAACAAAGCTATATAGAACCTGGTGAGAATCTCTGGTTGCCACTTACTCTTTGTAATCTATCATTCCCCGTTCTCCAAGGCCACTGTGTAGTAACACTGGTGGAACTGAAGCAGCTAGGTCAGGAAGTACATGCGCAGAGGGTTGGTTACTTGCCTTGTTGGCAGCTTTCTCAGTATTGTTTCATTTACTTTGGTCTCCTACTTGACCAGTAATACTTTAGGTGCACGAAGTACAGTTGCTTACAGTGATACTCGAAGAGTAATTGCATCAATTAGTAGAAAATATGATTATCCCAAGAGCAGTTTTAGAACCACCCATTTTTGCATAAATACTTTGTGGATGCAGGAGATGGTACAAAAAATGAGTTGTGGATTTTTAGGGTTTTTTAAAGGGTTAGGTAAAATATAGCATGCAAAGTCTTTTTTAAAAAAAGAACAGATCTGGACTATGCTCCGATTCCTGCAGCAGAATGTGTTAACTTTTATGAGTCTGTTCTGTGTTCCTTGTGATTAACCTCAGCTCATAAGCTTAGAAGGAGAAGAGGTTTTTCCTGCTATATGAAAGTTCTTGAAAATAGTTACTTGATCAGCAAAACCACCTATCAGTTTTATTTAGATAGTAAGAAACTTGTACTGTATGCCTTTTCTCAAACAGTTTTGCAATTTTTGTTTTTCAGTACATGTTTGTCTCCTTACTCTCCAGAGATACTACCTACAAGCTATTAAAATCTATCTGTAGACATCTTGAGGTAAGTTCTAGTGGGAATGAAGATACTTTTGACTTCATTCTTACTGCTTTCCTGCTTTTAAATGCTAGTTGTTTTCTGAGTGTGTTCCTCATTAACACTGCTGCTTTTTTCAGGATACAAGCATGGGCAACAGTCCAAACCCCTCTTCTGCAGAAAACAGCTTCAGGGCTGATCGTCCTACAACTTTACCCTTGGTAAATGTCTTAAAAGTTTGTTCTTTTGTTGCATGGCACCTTTCATTGCCAGTGCTACTTATAATGTCTGAAGAAAGGAAACTGAAAGAAATCATAACATCTGTTTCTAAAACTTCCATGAGTTTTTTCACATTAGGAAGCAGTGGAAATGACTGGCATAAGTGCAATTTGATCTGATCGCATGCACAGTATATACATGCATGTGCTTTGGATATATTCCGAAGTCTGTATGCTCTACATATCTCTCTTTAGCAGTCAGGTTTCACAGCACTCTGTACTGACTTAAAGTTGCTTCCTCTTCTGCCGTGAACAGTTTTTGAAGTGTTTCTAGTTGCAGTCCTTCCTCTGTGAGTCAGTTCAGACATCTGAAACAGCTGTGTAGCCACAGTGATGACCAGAGTCTAATTCTAGTAATGCCTGTCCTGGACTTCTCAGTTTATCTAAATTAACAGTCTTTCTTTTGCTCATAGACTTAACCTCCTCACTTAAAAGAAGGCAGGGGATGACACTGGAATTCTGGGGATCATATGGGGCTTATTTTGCTAACATGATCTCAACATCTTGATATCAGAGATTGTTCCTGGATAAACAGTTTTAAATCTGTGATTGCTGATTCAGTTTCTAGAGGTTGATCGGAGGAAATAAGGTTGTATATATTTAGAACAGGGCTGAGCATTCTTGTGATTCTTTCTCCCCATCAGGATTTCAATGAAGACTATTCTGATCTGGATGGAATAGTGCAGCAGAGGAGACAAGAGATGGAAGAGTCCAGCAGCACAGGCTCACAGACCCCGGAGCTGGAATGCTTTCAAGGTGAGCGGGATCATGAGGCCCCAGTAACATAAGAATGGCTTAGCTCTCAGTTTTGCTTCTGTAATCCTCTTCTAATGTAGAATCTACATTCTCCACAGTCCTGGAAAATTACAGGTTTTTTTAAGGTCTTCCTCAAAGCCACAATAGCTGCATTCCTATTATTATATCCCTTTGCAATCCACACTCAGGCAATGGCTTGGTCAGCAGCAGACCTGATTTGTCACCACTGCCTCCCGTTGCTTATCCATGTACCATCTGCTTCCCACATCCCCATCAGTTATGCTAGCAGAGACAAAATGTTGGAGATGTTCCTTCTTTAAAAAAAAAAACAAAAAACAAACAAGTGGACAAAAACCCATATTCTAAAGTAGTTCCAAGTCACAGTGTAAATTCTTCAAATCTATGCAAATGACATTCTGTGCTGTGATGGCATTTGGTAATAAAAAAAGTTATTTTTGACATGTCTTTTTGTTGTTGTGTTTTTTAAATCCTCATTTTATTCTTTGCAGTTATTAAGACATTTAAGATACTATCCAAAGCTGCTCTTTCTCAACACTACTGTTTGTAGTCTCATATGCCTCAAGTGCTTCACCTAATTAGCAGGA